GAAATGAAGGTTTATAAAGTCCATGTATGATGCATATACCAAAAAATATTAACCATAAAAGTATAATGTTGGAAATATATAAATTGAAATCGTGTAATATAAGGTGTATAACACAATATAAATGTATGAGATATAGTTTAGAATATGGTTATAAAGTCCATATATGATTTACATACCAAAAAAAGTCAACCATAAAAGTATAATGCTGAAAATCTATAGATTGAAATCATGTAATATAAGGTGTATAATACAATATAAATGTATGAAATATAGTATGGAATGTGGTTATAAAGTCCATATATAATGCATATACTAAATCGTGTAATATAATGTTGGAAATCAATAAATGTATGAAATATAGTATGAAATATGGTTAGAGTAATTAATGGGAAGAGAGAGAATAATTAATGGGAAAAGAGAAAATAATTAATGGATAGAGTAATTAATGGGAAAAGAGAGATTAAATCGGATATATGGTTAATGTGATATGATTTGTAACATTCGATATATATATATAGATGTAAGACGAAAATAAATTACCAAAATACCATTAATGAAGGGTACACACAACTTTCATCAGTCGATTTTTCAATGATGTCTTTTCTTTTAATAGTATAGATATATATGAGCATCTCATTATGCAGTTGTTCAGAAGACTGGCCATTAAAAAGTAACTAAACACACCACAAAAGAGAGGAACAAGGTCACTTGGAACTAGTTTCCACCAAGATCCCTCCAAACGTATTGTCATAAATTCATAATGCAATTGTTAGAGTTTGATGAGTTAGAATATGCAACCACAATGGTTTGAGTTGATTTGGTGTTTATTTAGTTGTCCTAGACTTTTAGTAGGTGACTTATACATTACTTGTTGAATGGGTTGGACTCGGATCGTATATCCAAGTTTTTAAGGTAATTTTGATTTGTTTCGGAAAAATATGGATATTCAGAAAAACAGATATCCAGAAAATAAATAGATATTTGCGGATATTTACGAATAATTACGTATATCTCATCCGTTTTGATTAATGCAAATAATTTTAAGAATTTGATACAAATTTGTTTTGTAAATTATATTTTTGCATGATATATAAAATAAAAATGAAAAGACATAGTGAATCTATTAAAAAAAGCGATCTAAAAATAGATTCCTATTCTGCTATTTACAATTACTGAAAAAAATAAACTTTACACAAGAAAATCACTTCGAATTGTTGATTCAGCGCCAGAGATGGCTTAGAACCAATAGTTCATTATCTAATGGATTTTTCCGCACTATCTCGTTGAAAGGTTCTATCCATCTGCCCTTTGTCATTTGTAAAATTTTCAAACTTACTTAATAGTTATTATAATATAAAACTTAAGAAAAAATTTATAGTTGTCATAAGTTTTCTCTTTTTTTATGTAATATTTTTATGTAAGTAATAATGTGGATAGAATTTATAAAATCATATGTTTGAATAATAATTATAAAATTTTATACATTTAAAACTTTAATATAATGAAGATATATATATATATATATTTCTGGATCGGAGCGGATATCCGCTTCTCAAAATTTTATTATTTATGATTTTATTTTATTTTAACGGATAGTGATTTTTTGCTTTTCTTTGAAAGTTTACGGATATCTGAATTTTTTAGATCGAATGGAAACGACTAAAAATTAGAATCAAATTTAACGGATAAAATGTGGAGCCCTACTTGTTAGTGCGGATCTATAAGCAATAGATATATTATGGCTGTAACTGGTGAATTTAAAAAAAAAAATAGATGGAATAGAGAGGAATTGAATAAGATGAATGGAATGCAGTAGAAAAATGGAATGAATCTATTTCATTTATTCCTAAACAAAATTGTTTTGGAATGATTTGCTTTATATTATGTTTATTTTTTTTTAGGATTGATGGAATGAGCATTCCATTCCATTCAGGTTAGCTGGTAAAAAAAAATCTGGAATTAATGGAATTAGTCATTCCAAACCATTCAATTCCAAAAATATATAATCCAGTTGCAGCCTACGAGTTTGATACGACGATATCCACATATCACGATCCATTTGGTCAATCCCTTATATATTAAAAGAGAAGCATTGTAATAAATGCGTCACACCATAATTGTCACGTGTCGATTTCACACTCATTTGGCAATAAATGCTTCACACACTAATTTTTTAAATTCATTATTTAATGTGTTTATACATTATTTTTTAATAATTCATTTTTCTACATTTTTAGCCTTTGTATTAATAAACTAAAATTTTCTACGTGAAACTAATGAATAATATCTTTATTGTTAAAAATTTACAAAATCATTAAGATTCGCATCAACTAAAATGTTGCGATGAAAATGTTTGTAGAAATTGAAAGTTTCGTACCTTGCCTAAGTTGGTCATAGTTGAGGCTTCGGTACACAATAACAACAAATAAAGTGATTGATTATGAATTAAAGAAGCTGGGATGAAAAACACCACACGTAGATCGGATCTTTAGTTTAGTCAAATATTAACATTTTTATAAAGTTTTCATATCATACCAAAAATTAGAAACAAAATCAAATTGGTAGAAAAAAATCAGAAATCAGAAAATCTATAAAAAGAAATAAAAATCACAAAATCGATTAAATACAGAATTCAGGTACCAAGTGAATATGTCACTTTGTAATATATATTATTTTTATTGTTTACGGGTACAATTTGATTTTCTTCATATGAAAAATGTTATTAATTTCTAGGTTTATGTTATTTTTACTTAATTTTATTTAAGAATTTACTATCATGTGTTATTTTGAACAAAAATATTTTAAATCTTAATTGACGGTATATTCATATATTTATCATCACGTTTATATACTTTTGCATATACAGACATGTACACATTGACATGAGCGACTATATAACTAAATATTCACCACAAACGAGAATTTTAGTTTTTATTGAAGTTGAAATTTTTTAAATATTTTCTTTCACTATCTCTCAAATTGTAGTTAAATGTTTTATGTTAATAATTTTATTTTCTTTTTTTGTTCATATATTATTTAGATTTTATTTGATTTTACATGTCTTTAGAAATTATAATAGAAAACTATTAGTTCAACAAAAATGTCTAAAACTTATATAAAACGAAACCAAACAAATAACAATATTTTTTTGTTATCATCAAAAAAATTAAAAACATCAAACAAATTAAACCAAACAAAACAAAATAATTATAGATTTAGAATGACAATTATACTTTAGGAGATTAAAAAAAACAACGTAAAACTAAACCAATATTCATGCTAAACAAACATAATAAAATTTTATGCTAAAAGTAACAAAAATAAAAATCTCAAAGCGCCGGTTATTACCTAATACCCCATAAACGATAAGTCACATCGTTTGTGTGTAATAAACCATCAAAATTCCATAACGTTTCTTCTCATATACCAACTTACGTCCATACAGTTTTGGTCGTGAGAAAACAGAAATGCACTAGAGCTAACATATAATGAAACTCGAAAAAGGAAAACCTCTTCCTCGTACAGAAACTTAAAACAGACTTATGAGAACTTACTAGATTGTATTTTGTTATTACATAGTTTAAAAGATTTTGTTACAAAAAAAAAGAAAAGGTTTACATTAATCTCCTCACTCCATCAACTTCTTTATATTGTTCCATCTCTAACCACCATACGGTAAGCTGCACGAAACCAAAATATTTTAGTTATTTTAGGGTGATGGTGGTAGATGACCTATATTAACAATAGTCTATTCGTGTTTACAAAACATGTGATAATAAACCAACTTATTTAAGATATCACTTTTCAGATTTTTTTGCAAAAATATTATCAGCGTATGATGATCATTTAGTGAATATACTCCTCTCTTTTTATAAACATGATGGTTAGTCAGTAAATGTATTATTTTCATTTTATAAAATTATTTTCTTCATTTAAAAATACATGAAGTTTATTTAATCAAGAAAACCAAATGAGAAAAGGTGGGATATAAAAGTAAGTTAATTACCCGAGCCTAAGAGAGATATCGGAGCTCTCAGAGTCAACAGGAGCACCAGTGGAGTTTCCAGCGTTAGTAATGGACTCCGAGGAGTGTCCTTCCTCGTACACGGCAGTGTTCTCTGATTCACCACCACCACCAACGTATCTTTCATGCACATTATTGTATATCTACACCGTAACCAATAAAAAATTCCAAATTTAACATTTAACCAAAATTATAAAAAATACACAACATTCGGTATGACACCGACGTACCTGCTGGCCTAGTCGCTCGTTCTCTTCCGTTAACTGTGTTCCCTGAAAAAACAAGGTTTGATCATAGAAAAGACAATGAGAAGATTTAAATTTTGAGTTTTTATTCGCACCAAAGTTAAATCAAGTCAAACGAGATGTTGATTATTTCAGTTTCCATATTCCACAAAACAATCTGAAAACACAGAAAGCGCAAACCAAAACCATGCACATTCTTCTTTGGTTTTAAACTACATTGAAACTAATTAGCTAAATATTAATTTACCATAGATATAAACCACGCTAATCACTTGGTTTAAACAATTTATCTCGAAGTATGAACAAATATGTCTTTAAGACAACGAGTAAGATGCGTACTTGCTGCCTTAGCCGCTTGTTCTCGTCCATCAATTGCACTCCCTATGAAAAGATTAATTGTAACCCTTATCATTGCCAAAATTATTTGAATCATCAAGAAAAGATAAAACGTTGTTTTGGTTCTTACCTTTCTTTGAAGAAAACTGATCTCATTCATAATCTTTTCACTCTGGAACAATAACTCATAGTAGGTGAGTAACATATTAGTAACCATCTAGAGAATCTTATTAACGGTATCATGGTTTAACATCTAATTTTGTTTTAACAACCTTTGTTTCAATCACGCGTGTCAACCCGGCTTCAAGGGATTTTTCGAGCTGTTGCAGTTCTTCAATGTTAAGTCCTTGAAGTTCCTCTCCTCTCATTTGTCTATGTATATATATATGATCATATTAACACATAAGGTTAGAAAATGATAGTTGTTACGAAATTCAAAGAATAGGCATATATTTGTGTACCTTAGTCGGTGGCTCTTTTCCGCAATCTCTTTGCTCAACAGGGCGTGATCGCTGTTCTCGACCAGCTAAATGATAACCATTGACTTAAGCTCTTAAACAAATCCATAATGATCTAAGCTCAAATCTCTACACATGACTAATTGTAAATGGATGTCTGTCTTCAAAAAGCTTGCATCCATTTATGTAGTATGATTATAATCCTTTTGAACCAAACTACCATTATAAAAGAGAACTACAAACAAAGTAGTCTAAGTCTCAAATATTTTTAGTACTTTTAGTTAGGGGTGGGCGCAAGGCGATTACTTGCGTTTTTGTGTATCCTTGATACTTGACTTGCCTTGAACGAGTAATGAATTTTCGGACTTGTTCTTGCCTTGTCGAAAACATGTACTTGTTATTTCGAGTACTTGTCCAAAAATATGTTACTTGCAAGTTACTTGCCTCGTTCGATTACTTATTACTTGCAAATACTTATGAATTATTTGGATATTTTATTCAAGTTTCTAATAACTATTTATTAGATAATATTGTATAAGAAAAGATTATGAAAGTTTATTTTGTTTATTCAACTGAGAAAAAACACAAA